CTCTCTTGCATGGATGAGGATGGCCAAGAATAAAACACCTCTCCTAGGAGGTGTCATCTTCCCTCATGAGCAAAATTGGTTAGCTTAAAACCCTAATCCAATTTTCTATTTTTTGAAGTACAAATATTGAATGATTTAGTATAATCATTTTGTAACCCCCAAAGATTTTTTTTTTTTTTTCAAAATTCAATTTGATAATTTTATCGAACAATTTTATCCATAATTTTGTTAGACGATTTTACCCTCGAAAACCTCCCCTTCACTACAATTTTTTAAAACCATCAAATACCACCATTTCATTTTATTTATTTAATCTTCGGATAAGAGGTGTTACACTATTTCACATTTTTCTCAATTCTTAGAAACAATAAAACGAAAATATATGGGGTGAATGATTGTTGGGTCTCATCTTTTCAAAATCCAAACCCAATAACCTTCTTACAAACCAATACCAACCACCTGTTCTGCCCACACATTAAAAAACACAAACAAACCAAACCCCTTATCCTTTGATTCCTTTGCAAGACTAAGACCATACACACACACACACACACTCTTTTGTGTATGAAAATATTCAATTAAATTTAAAAGAAACCCAAAAGCTTTAAAAAAAAAGGAGAAAAAGAAAATGTTGGCAAAAGAATCAGCGGGTCCGAACTTCGATCTTCCCGAGGATGTGTTGGAAATACTCCCATCGGATCCATTTGAACAGCTAGATGTTGCTCGTAAAATCACCTCCATTGCCCTGTCGACACGTGTATCCGCCCTCGAATCAGAGGCGTCTATTCTCCGCCGCAAGCTCACCGAGAAGGACGACATCATCGCCGACCTCCACTCCCAGATCGATTCCCTCGACGCTTATCGCTCCGACATCTCCGATCAACTCGCTCGAGCCGAGCAAGAGAAGGTCGCCCCCAACCCGGTTCACTTCACACACACACACACACACAAATATATGTATATATATATATATTTGGATTAGTGAATTTGTGGTGTTAATTGTGTTGCAGGAGAGCTTGTTGAAAGAGAATGCTTCGTTGTCAAATACTGTGAAGAAGCTCAATCGTGATGTTGTCAAGGTAGGTGGAAAGGTCAATTTATGTAATTTTCGCATTCTTGGAAGGTTAAGATTGGCAACTTTGGTGCCTCTTCAGGATTAGAAATGTAAAGTTTTAGGATAAATTTTATTTTTATTTTTTATATTTGGATTTCAGATTTAGAATGCTATTTCGATATCACTAATGCTGAGACATAATTTAAAGATTTAATGTATTATGATGATTGATAGGATTGGGATTCAGTCGTAATTTAATGTTGGGACCTAGTGACAAGCTAATGACTTCAATGATTAAGTTATTCAATTATGTCCCAATAGCATTCCTCTTTCAATATATAATTTTGGTTTAAAATAGTAGTAGGCAAAAGAGGAACTTTTGTTTTTTTTTTTCCATTTTCGAAAATTGTTAATTCTATGTTTATACTGTTTGATAACATTGTTTTAGTATTAATCGTGTCAGAGCGGGTCTACTCATTTATGAAACGGGTGGCTTAAAGAAGACTAAAATTTTCTAACTTTGTGCCGTTTCACCCCTAATTTGTATACTAAAAGCCTTATAGATCAGTTTTTAGAATCAACACTCAAGCATTTTTTTGGATGGAATGTTTTATTGTGTGAATAAAAGTACTAACAAAACGTGATAAAAAATGGTGCATAACTTTTTAAGTAAACTTAGCTTCTGAAATTTACTTATTTATTGATTTGTTTATGTTTGGTACCCAGAATTTTTTTTTCTTTTGGCTTTTGTGATTTTTGTTCATCATCAATCAGGCAAAAATAGACTCTTTTCTACTTTCTAGTTGTCCAATGTGTGACTGTCATTGTTTGTTGGCATTTTGACAAGGTTTTAATGCTTAATATGTGTTTCTAATTTCTCATTGGCATCCAAACAATAAAATTCTCAATGCTCAGGGATTCCAACTCTTAAGAGGCTGGCCTCATTGCAACAAGCAAATTCAAGTTTTTTTTGGGGGGGAGAGATTACAATCCACAGGGAATGGGGAGGGTGAGACTCGAACCTTGCATTGGGGGGCAAGGTGGGAAAGGGCAAATTCAAGTTCGTGTCTCAAACATTTGCCTTGAGTAGTCAGTATAAAGGTGCAAGTAGTTCATACAAGTAGGGTGTGGCATGGACAATTTAGCTGAGGTTAGGATGAAACCGTTCTTTAGTTCTATTTGTTCGTTGTCATTTGTGACTACCTGAGGCATTGGTGAAATAAGTTAAGGTTGTTACATCTAACTGACAAATTGGAAGTAGTAAAACACTATGTAAATACCACCGCCCTCCATAACTACATTCAGGATCTTACTGAATTGAATGTATGCAGTTGGAAAGCTTCAGAAAGACACTCATGCGATCACTTCAAGACGAGGAAGAAAAAACTGTAAGTTATCTGCCTAAGTTTCTGCAAGTTGAAGGATTTGTATTTCTTGCATTAGGCACTACTTTGAAAAGGACCACTTGGACAATTAAAATAGTAGAGCTATTTTTCAGGACATTAAGGACTTAAGAAGTACATATTGTTTTTTAACTCCAAGTCCTGACAGAAAATTTTCCCCACTTTTATATGGCTGCAGGCAGGAGCACCTCAGGGTGTTGCCACGCATATACGAAGTCTTGAGAGTTTATCTTCTCAGTCACAGACTGGAGGTTGTTTGAGTTTTTTGTATGCACTTCTTTGTTTTGTTTATTATTTGTATCATAATGGAAAATCCAAGATTCTGATTTGTTGAGCACATCAATGCTGTACCAGCTGCATAGGATAGTGAAAGGGAACTTAATTCATCCTACATACATTGATTCAAGCTAAATTAGATTCACCCACCTCTCTATAAAAACTTTTGTTTTTGGGATGACTGTTTATAAGAATACACTAAGCTAGCTAGTCAGATTCTTGGTAAGTATGGTGCTTCCGCAGTTGATATTAGTTACAATTTACATGACATAACTTCAATGCTTCAAGTCCTTGTTGCAATATTAATGGGAGGGTCGGTTGAATTGAACATTCCAGAAGAGAAACATTCATTTGAAGTAAATGTTTAGCCATCATAATTGATAAACAGCAATCTAATTTGTTTCAGAAGATGATGCTACATTGCCACCTTCAAGAACTTCTTCAATACGGAGCCAGGTCTCGGAGATAGTAAATTCACATGCTGAGGATTCTGAGGCTGATGGTATGCTTCATTAAGCATATGGTTTTTCCATTTGCAACATTTCCTCTTAAAAAACTGTGCTTTTGATTGTACAAGGTTAGCATTCTGTCCTTTTCTCTGATTTGTTATGTATTTTTACTATTTTCCAATAATGGCAGTCTCAAGGCCTCGCATATCACAAGGCCTGCTGTTAGCATCCCAGGCTAGCACACCTCGGTTCACTCCTCCCGGCTCCCCTCCTAGTCTATCAGCATCTGTATCTCCAACAAGGACGTCTAAGCCAGTGTCCCCAAGGCGACAGTCCATCTTATTTTCAACCACAAGAGGCATGTTTGATGACAGGTCTTCAATGTTTTCTTCCACACCCTCAAGCCAGCACAATTCAATGTCAGGCTTGGATACAGGATCACAATCTGGTTAGCTCTGGAAACTTTCTTATCTGAAAATCTAATAAAGCCAGTTGCATTTGAATTCTTCTTTAGTCAAAATGTGGTTGCTCTGTTGATCATTGCCAATGCACTGGCCAAGTCGAAAGTATTTGGTCTAGATTAGGTGATTGCGAAGCTCACACAACATTTTGCTGTGGTGTTCTAGTTATTATTTTTAAATTTCTTTTTCCTTTATGTTGTTGGGAGAGGGTAGGTTGAGGGATTAAGAGTGGGTGGATATGTTGGTGTTGTTCTCCTACTATTAGCAATGGTTTCACCCTGTGCAGTCCCAAAACGCATAACTGCTATAAATAAAGAATTTCATGAGTTTGGTTGATCTATGCTAGCCGGAGAACCACTTAGTTGTAGATGTTGTTACTGTTACCACCGTTATCTTGTGTTATACTACTTTTTGTCTGTTGCAGGACGAACTCGGGTTGATGGGAAAGAATTTTTCCGCCAAGTCAGGTAAAGGCATGCTGCTTTTTAGAGTTTTTTAATCTGCAAAAAAGGTTTTTCAAAACAGTGATGTGATGATGAATTATGAATTTGTTTGTTTATTTGATATATTAGGATTACATCAAATTATCTATAAATTTACCGTGATTACAAATTTGCATACATGATGGTGGCACTTGGTCTTTAATGCTTTGAAATTAGTAGTAAAACAATCTGTGCAATATCGTGCACGAATTCCCAAAACTAGACAATTCATAAACTTCCTACAATGAACCACACTTGTTCAGTGATCATTAACATGAATGTATCCTTAAAACAAATGGAAAGATATGAATAGATATGGGATTTTCACAAAGTTATGAGTTATTGAAAGGAAGAACTATTATATCTCAAGATATGCTTCCCCCCCCCCCCTCCCCCCCAAACAAAAGAAAAAAACAACAATGTTCCCCCTGACTATTTGTCAAAAATAGATTGAAAAAATTCAATCCTCTGCTTATGGGAATGCCACTTCGAGAAATGCTGCTTCAGGATAAACTAGATATGTTACGAGATAAACTGGATATGTTACTTCGGCTGATGGTGGCGTTTGTTGTATTACTTTATCGATTGAATGGTGGTGAAAATTACTAACACTCGATGTCAATTAATTGCTGTGCTAGATGTTTTCCTAATAGAAGCTGTTTTTTATTTATATATCCTTCCCCATTTTGAGTTTTCTCAATGCTTAGCGTTTCGAATTTTGATTCTAAACTGCAACATATGCCCCATCAAAATTCTCGTTTGCTTCGTCAGGACCCGTTTGTCTTACGAGCAGTTTGGTGCATTTTTAGCAAATGTCAAGGAATTGAATTCCCACAAGCAAACAAAAGAGGTATGTGATCTCATCACTGCCATCTTCCCATATTATTGCTATCAACAATTTCCATTGATGTCCATTCTCATATCTCTGTTACTATCAGGAAACTTTGCGGAAGGCAGATGAGATTTTTGGCCCAGACAACAAGGACCTTTATACTATTTTTGAAGGGTTGATCACTCGTAACATCCATTGAAGCGACTAATAAAGCTTGAATTGTTCGTGATCCAAGCATTGATTTCCATGCTACAGTTTCTTCTCTCAGTTTTTGCTGTAAATTTTTGGAGGGGTGCTTCTTCGATTTGTATTACTTTGCTAGTGCCATTGAAATAGATTTGTCATCAAATGGTTTGCAAGAATCTATTACTACTGTTAGATCTATTTGGATATGTAATGCAGCAGCCATATTAATCCTTCCACTTTGCTCATGAACTTGAAATCTACGACTTCCAATGAATGATAATGTACATTCTGTTTCAAAGTCGTTATTAAATAAAAGTCATTTTGTCCACATTTTCATGATGTTGAAAAATACCAATCGTGATTTGCTTGATCGGGTTGAGGAAGATTTTGTCAATGGTCCAATTAATCAGAAATGAGATTTTGTTGAGCGTTTTTGAGCTAAATTGGGGTAGTTTTATTTCTACATGGTATTAAATCGGAGTTTACAAACTGGCAGTGAGATGTTTAAATTTAGATTGTAATTAACACAAGTAAATTGCCCATTTGAGTGTTCAAAAAAAAAAAAAAAAAATCATATAATGTTCTGGTCGCCCCTCCCCCTTTTCTCGGATCAAAAAATAAAAAAAAAATCGTAGAATGTTAGAAAATGTGATTTATCCATATTTATTATGATTTGTTTGTGAAAATTAGAAAGAATTCCACAAATGAGACGGTATAAAACTTAAACAAATAATTTAATTTACGGTAGTATTTTTTATGTGCCACTCCCATATATCCGATAAAAAGTATTGTTTATTAGCACTACACAGTTATTTATAGGATATCTATTGCGTGCGCCAAAGAGTAGGGTTTAACTCCTCTAGGTTATCGTAGTTATAGAGAATTGGTTTCAAGCATTGAGTGAAAATTTTTTAATTTTTACCCATCGCACCCAGGATTGATAATTGAACCGAGCTAACCAGGCTCGATTTAGATAGAACTAGATTAGACTTGTTTAGAAAACTAACTTAAAAAAATTGGCTTAAGCCGATTTTGAGTTCGTAAATATCGGCTCCCATATATCCAATAGAAAGTATTGTTTATTAGCACTACACAGTTATTTATAGGATATCTATTGTGTGCGCCAAAGAGTAGGGTTTAACTCCTCTAGATTATCGTAGTTATAGAGACTCGATTTCAAGCATTGAGTGAAAATTTTTTAATTTTTACCCATCACACCCAGGGTTGATAATTGAAACAAGCTAATCAGGCTCGATTTGGATAGAACTAGATTAGACTTGTTTAGAAAACTAACTTAAAAAAATCGGCTTAAACCGATTTTGAGTTCGTAAATTTCAGCTCGTTTATATGTAAAATAATTGAGTTATTCAGTCTCGTCTTGAATTCAGCTTATTTTGAAATCTTTTCGGCCTCAATTCATTTATTAAATAAAACGCACTTGAATAATTTTTTAAATTTATTTAAAAAAATAAATTTGACAAACTCAGATCCATCATTAATCTTAACAGCGCCCCAAGTGTGCGTGACAGAAAGGGAATATAGTTTGAATAGGGGTGGTAGCTCCAAGGGTCTAAGTGTAATTTGGTCTTGTGCATTAATTATATGAGACCCTCTGTCAGGGCATTGAACTGTACGGGCTCCAATTACAGAGGAATGCTTTCGTGCATGCGACAATCTTAAACGTAAATACACATGCATTTAGACCCTATATTGAATCTGATTGCCATTAATAATATCAATAGCACAGAACGAGAAGGGTTGGCAAAATCCGATTTTTGGGCACCAAAATCCGGTGAAATGTTGAGAAATTCTTGGTGTATAATTACACAAAAAAACATGAACACCATCCCCACCGCTACTTTCAACTTTCTCTCCCTCCCTCTCTCTTTTACATTTTCAAGTTCCACTATTGGCTTTCTAACAGCCCCTGGTTCTGCTGTCTCTAGAATCCATGGGAAACGACCCTAAACCTTCAGCTTATACATGGTATTTGTTTAAATATTAAATATTTTATTGCTTCTAGGCTTAGTAGCTCTATATGATTCTGGGTTTGTATGTTCTTGTGTTTCTGTTCAGTTGCAATTCATATGTTGTAATAATTTTTCTCCGCTATTGAACCTTAAGGTGATGGGTACGAACCTCTTCGTCCCCTTCGTGTCTCACCCAAAAGAAAATATGTCCTGATAATTTTGCGTTTGTATGTTTTTCTTTTTTTTCTAACTGTGATATATCAGTCGTTTTTAATGTATTTGCTAGGTTGATATTTGTGGAAAGTCATCAAATGTTGTCATAATAGTCAAGAAAAATGCAGGAAATGTAAGAAATCTTGATTACTAATTGGGGCTTAAGGTTTCTCAGCAATCAAATGCCCATGATAACTGTTTTTGGGATTCCGGGTTTCTCTAATTATCATTTCTCAGCAATCATATATTCTTCATGATGTCAATCTTCCAGTTTTGTGTCTGTTCCTCCCCTCTATTCCCATAGGTCTGCTCATATCTGTTTTGTGCTTTTGTCAAACTCTATGTTGTTGACACTTGCCTGGCATTTGGCAGCAACATTGCATGCGACATTGCTGGAGGAAATTCAGAAGGCAAACCCTTTGATATTGCAGACAGATTATTATTTCCTGATCCCTCCATGTCTGTTTCTACAGAAGGTAAAATATCCCTCTATTTTTGTTTCTACAGACGGTTTAAGTCTCCATCTTCAATGGTTAATCTCCTACATTCCATTGGTCAATGATTGTCATCAACATTGCTGGTTCTCTATTGTTTTCCGTTGCTGATTTTCAATTGTTTCCCATGATTCTATTGAGTTTCTATCTCCGTTGTTATGTTTCATCTGCAATTAAATGAAGCATCATATCCTTTCACTTTTGAATTAAAATTTTTAATTGCATCTTGTTAGACCTGAGATGTTTAGATAAGGAGATTGAGGAAATAGAGGAGTTATCACCAAGAGGAGTTCTAGAGGATGATGGAGAGTCTGAAACAGCATCTTCCAAGACCAGCACTTCAGAACCAGAAACTCCAATAAATCTGAAATCTGATTCTCAATGGCATGGGTTCATTCGTAAGCTGAAAAAAGCACCAGCAAAGAGTTTGCATCCTTTCCATCCTAGCATGCCGTCGCTACCTACCATCAAGAAGCTTGCAAGAAAGAAAAGCACGAATTCAACACACAGCATGCCAGCACTGCCTCCCAATTTAGATGCTGAAATGTATTTTTTCGAGTCCTCCTGGAAGAATTTCTCTCTCTCAGAGATCGAAAGAGCAACGAACAATTTTAGCCCTGGTATGCAAATTCCAAGTTTACATTTTTTAAGTTTTTGCACTTGCATTCAATTACACTTGGCAACTACCGTAACCAATATGGCTTTTGAATGGCAAACTTGAGATGAAATATCATGTTTAACTTCATTAAGACTCCCTTATGTACCAAAAGCAATGAAATGATCCTATGTCCTACTTGGCTGATTAAGATTTTCTGCATCTTTCTGAAGACAATTTGATTGGAGAAGGAGGTTATTCTGAAGTTTACAAGGGACGTATGGAAGAAGGGCAACTTTTAGCAATCAAACGGCTGACCAGGGGAACACCAGAAGAGATGACAGCAGACTTCTTATCTGAACTTGGGATTTTAGTCCACGTCGACCATCCCAATATTGCTCATGCTATAGGCTATGGGGTTGAAGGAGGGATGCATCTTGTTCTTCCTTTGTCTCCCCATGGGAGCTTGGCATCTTTGCTTAATGGTATGTTCTTTATTTAACATGATGCCTCTAAAAGTACATTCCGTTAAATTTTTCTACAAAAGATTGTTATTTTTATTCCTCCATGTTCAGGTGAGAAGGAGAAACTAGCATGGTGCTTTAGAAACAATATTGCTCTAGGCACTGCCTCTGGCCTTCTATATCTTCATGAGGGGTGTCAGCGGAGAATTATTCATAGAGATATAAAGGCTGCTAACATTTTGCTTACAGAAGATTTTGAGCCCCAGGTTTTTCCTTACAAACTCGAATCTAATTACATGAAAGTGCGCCTTCTTGAGTAATTTATTTTTGTCGAGTTATTATTATCTTCTTAATTAGGGAATTTTTGCCCCAGTGCTTTTTTAAGTAACTTTTTTAAGCTAAAAAAAAAAGGAAGCAATCCCACAGTAGAAACGATCTATTTGTATACATGCATATGTGTTCTACTTGCATGCAATAAAAGCTTGAGTAAGTGATTATAATTGGAAAATAGAAAAAGCAAAAACACAAAGATGCAAAACAAACACTATTTAAAAAAAAAAAGAGAGAGATGACATCGAATGCTACTTTATATTTCACCTTCCAAAGTACCTGATAGTTTCTCCATTTGATGCAGTTGAATTGAACTTTTAAGAAGCATTAAGAGTCAATAGTCACTCAAATGGTGAAGAATGTTTCATCTGCTCCCTGGATATTTAAGTTCTAGTTAAACTATAGGGTTTGTTGTTAGAATCATGAACTTTCACAATAGAAGCCATGCATTTTTATGTTTGGGTTTGTTGAAGTTTTTGAATTTTGATGACTAACTTTAAGTTCTATGTAGATTTCTGACTTTGGCCTTGCGAAGTGGCTCCCGGACCAATGGACTCACCTGACCATATCACAATATGAAGGCACATTTGGGTCCGTAAGCATAAGTCCTGTTTTGATTTCTCATTTTTGTTTGAGTACTGTATAGTGTCCATTAATCTTCATTTCCATCGTGGCAGCTACCTTCCTCCCGAGTTTTTCCAGCATGGCACAGTTGATGAAAAAACTGATGTCTATGCTTATGGTGTATTATTGTTGGAGCTCATCACTGGACGTCCAGCTTTGGATAAGTCACAGAAAAGCCTCGTTATGTGGGTATGTTACTTCTCTCTGTCCCGGTTTGATTACATTGTTGCAGCTAAGTGTAAATCAATTACCTCTTATAGTATATGTATATGCTTTTGTATTTGGAAATTCATGAACTCTAGAGTAATTTGTTGCAGGCTAAACCATTGCTCACTGAGAAAAACATAGAGGAACTCGCCGATCCATCTCTTGGCGGAGCCTACGACCTAGAGCAGATAAATCGCATGGCCCTGATTGCTTCTATATGCATTCATCAGTCTCCAGCTGAACGGCCTCAAATGAGCCAGGCACGTGCTTGTTTTAGATATGGTAGCTTAGTACTTTTTTACCAATTACCATACATTAAGCTGTGCTGAACAGGTATGCTAAAGCCAGCAATGTACACCTGATCTGGATTCTAAACAGCTCTTCATTTCGGTGCATTGTTTGAAAATCTAGGACACGGAAATTTTTTGACGTGTTTTGAAAATGTTTGAACCGGTTTCAAAAACATAATAAAAAAAATAAAAAATTATTTTTTCAAAATATACTAAAATATCTAGAAATATTTCGAAACATTCCGAAACAATTGTACAAATAAATTGAATTATTACAAAACATCTCAAAACATTATGGAACTTCTCGAACTATTTGAATTTCAATTCCATCATTGATTTATTTCGGTCTCTTGAAACGTTTTAAACATTTCGACCATTTCAAAACAAAATTTTGATCTTTACTCAGGTGTCTAGTCTATTGCAACTTGAGGCTTGTTTGAAAAGAGAAATGTAATTTATACTTAAAAAGTTGACATGATTTTTTAACTTGATGAATTATAATCATTAAATAGATAATAAGTCATAATAAATGTTGAGACCCACAACTAAATCAATGACAGTAATTAATCAACTCAACTCTGTTGTTCAAGTCTGTGCAGCATTACCCGTTTCACAGTGTATCATTTTGGTTAAACCGTGGTGTTCATGTGCAGGTTGTTAGGATGTTGAAAGGTGATGAAGGGATCTTGCAGAGCAAGAAAAAATTTCAAAAAAGACCAGCCTTTAAGAGGACATGTTCAGTGGATCTGTCTGAGGATGAAGAATACAACTCCCCCCAGCAGTTAAATGATTTGAACCAGCAAAACCAGATTGCATTGGAGCTCTAAAGTATTTCTAAGTGATGGTACTGTCTGTTGCATAACCAAAGGAAAAAGGACAATGCGCAGTTACAAGAATCTTTACACTCGGAAGCTTAGGATGAATTTCAGAATCATAGCTACCTTGTTTTTTTCGCAGGCTGTCTAGACTTGCGCCGATTACTCTCGAGAGTTTGGGGACTAACTCATCGTGGCTTAAATTGGGTTAGAGTATGTTCTTAAAGGGATAAAGATGATTAGCATTGAGAAGGTGTGAGAAGGAATTGAATCGGTGAAAGACAAATTATTTACGTATAGACTAGAAAATTTATGTGAGATAAATTTATCATGATCTAACATCCAGAAAGTAATCAATTTATCTTGTCCAACTTGAAACCTCATGAATGTACATAGTGCAAAATATATATTATTTTTTGAATAAGTTAGTGAGACATATTCATCTAAGAGATAGTATGCATTTAGATTGCATTTTTTTGAGTTTTGTTTGGGTTATGCAGTATTTTTTATTCATTTTAGACTCTATGCATTTTTCTAGACATACAAAATGTAAATGAAACACAAAAAATTGTAACCTAAATACACATTATCCCTTGAATGAGTGAGTCTCGTCAACTTTTCGCTCATCCAAGGGATGATATGCATTTTAAGTTTTAACTTTTGAGTTTTACTTGGATTATGTAATATTTTTTTTTATATATAACTTCGCAAATAAGATTTCTATAAAAGCGTAAAATATGTGATTTTTTTATTTTTTTTTAAATTATAAATAATTATAAATAAATTAAAATTCAAAAAATTAGTTTTAATCTTTAGTATCCCACATATAATATAAGGGTCAAATAACTCGCATGGGTAACACAGTGGTGTAAGATTGGACCTAGACAAACAGTAGTTCAAAAGGTCAAGTTTGACTCTCGTTGACGTCTCTCATGCTTCTAAGTGATATTTACGATTTACAAATAATTATAGATATTCAAGTTTACTCTATTAGGCATGGATTTAAAGTGACACTTCCTTCAGAGAAGTTTCTCATTATACATATATTAGCGGCCGCATTGTATAATATATAAAATTTATAATATCGTTTCATCGCCTCTGTCATTAGGAGTGCTCATGGGTCGGATTACTCATAGGTTCCATTACTTAATCTAAAAAAATGGGCTCGAAACCTAATAGACTTGATAGTTAACCCGCCTGAACCCAATATCCTTAAAAATAGGAGTTGGGTTTGCCCTCAAACCTATTATCCGGCCAAAAGCCTGCACCGCCCACACAGTCTCGCACACACTTTTTTTGAAAAAAAATTGTACTTTTAGACCATTAAATTTATAACTTTAAAATAAGTCTCTTAATATCAGAATTTGAAATTTTATAAGTTTAGATACTATAAATAATATATTATTTTTTTATATATATTAAATATACAAGTTTTAACGATTAGAATAATGCAAATGATATATAAGTGTCAACTTAATCAGGATGTATTCATTTTATTGGATGTAGTTTATCCCTAAATAAAAAATAAAATTGTTTATTATTTTACTTTTAATCTATTTTTAATTCAAAAATATAACAAATAATAAGTTACAAAAATATTTATTATTTTTAAATAAAATTGTATATATATAAGCTCACGAGCAAGCCCGCGCAGCAAGCCTGCCTAGACGACCCATTCAATAGGTTAATGGGGTTCAATAGGTTAATGGGTTAGGCTACGGGTAACCTACCTCTACTCAAAATCTGGATAAGAATTTAATCTTATACTACCCAAGTCCGACCTAGAGAAAATTTCGCCGGCCTGGCAACGGACACCCTTAACTGCCACCCTTATTTCCACTTACCTACCGCACCACCTATATCCCTATTTATCATCTTAATATTAAAATTATTTATTAATGTGTAAATTGATCATTTATAACAATTTAAATATATAATAATGATATATAGAAAAAACTCTCTTCAAAATTATTTGTTTTAGTAGATAGTATAGATAAGTGTCAAACAACGACTATTTCTAAGTAATAGGTGAGATTTGTCTCCCACCACAGTGACAGTTGGCTCGCAAATCAGATTAGGAAACCAATTTTCTCGAGAAAATACGAAAACTTTCCCGGAAAATCATCTCCTTTTCAATTTCTTCTCGAAACATTCAAACCCAAAGGTCATGATTAAGTTTTCAGATCTTTCACTTATCTTCTTGCTTTCGATCGCGTCCGTCCTCTTTGAATCTTCGAGCTCCTCAATAATCAATCCATCGAAAGTCAAACAAGTTTCAATGAAACCAAGGTATCTTTTAATTTCACTAACCTGCTTTTTGGATGCTGAGAAAATATAGGAGACTAGAAGAAGGAAGAGAAATTGTAAGGTAATACTTGGATGCAATTTCCATTAACTCAGGAAAGTATGTGATTATTTTTCAGAGCTTTCGTGTACGAAGGTTTTCTAACGGATGAAGAATGCGATCATTTGATAGCTCTTGTGAGTGGAATTTGAAATTTCTGAATTCTCATAATTTGAATTTTTTAGATCAATTTGATTTGAATTGTTGTGGAGTTTTTTTTGGGGGGGATTTACTAGGCGAAGTCGGAGCTGAAGAGATCGGCTGTTGCGGATAATGCGTCTGGAAAAAGCAAGCTCAGCGAGGTTCGGACTAGTTCCGGAATGTTTATTACTAAGGGAAAGGTCTGTTCTTCATGTAATTTGATCTAGTTTGTGCTATTTTCGGTTGCAATTAGTGAGCTAGATACATTTATGTATTGTATAATTGCATAAACTTAGTATCATTGATATTGTTAATAATGTAAGCATGTTTGAGGTTAGCTGGTTAGTGTGGTTGGGCCTAATGGCCATCATCTCCATGGTTGGACCTTAAGGTCGTGGATTCGAACCTTGTTGTCCCCTTTCCTTGTAATAGTGCCTAATGTAGGCAAGTATTACTTGTTGTTAACAGTTTATGATGAGCACACATTGGAAGAAGAATGCTTAGTATAGTTAGAGAATTGTAGACATGTTGTAGGTTTGATGTATTGTCTGTCAAGTTCTGGTTTCTGCATTGCAGATAAACTCCAAGGATAACACACAAGGTGTATGGTTTAACAATCTGATGGATTTTGTAGTCTGGTTTTTGATTGCTTTGTTGTGATTTGCAAGATAATTGAGTCCATCTAATGTGGGAAAATAAATTATCTCTAAAACTTATATTTTTGTCCTTATATATTGTAAACCATTAAAGGCATTTAGCTCCATATTGACTCCCCCAGTGAATTTGTAATGATTTTATGAAGGGCCTTAACTTGTGCCAGGGTTTCTCCATGCATTTACAATTTTCATGTGGATGTGTGGTGTTCAAGCATTCATTGTTACTCTGCTTCTGCACTTGCAATGNAAATTGTAAGGTAATACTTGGATGCAATTTCCATTAACTCAGGAAAGTATGTGATTATTTTTCAGAGCTTTCGTGTACGAAGGTTTTCTAACGGATGAAGAATGCGATCATTTGATAGCTCTTGTGAGTGGAATTTGAAATTTCTGAATTCTCATAATTTGAATTTTTTAGATCAATTTGATTTGAATTGTTGTGGAGTTTTTTTTGGGGGGGATTTACTAGGCGAAGTCGGAGCTGAAGAGATCGGCTGTTGCGGATAATGCGTCTGGAAAAAGCAAGCTCAGCGAGGTTCGGACTAGTTCCGGAATGTTTATTACTAAGGGAAAGGTCTGTTCTTCATGTAATTTGATCTAGTTTGTGCTATTTTCGGTTGCAATTAGTGAGCTAGATACATTTATGTATTGTATAATTGCATAAACTTAGTATCATTGATATTGTTAATAATGTAAGCATGTTTGAGGTTAGCTGGTTAGTGTGGTTGGGCCTAATGGCCATCATCTCCATGGTTGGACCTTAAGGTCGTGGATTCGAACCTTGTTGTCCCCTTTCCTTGTAATAGTGCCTAATGTAGGCAAGTATTACTTGTTGTTAACAGTTTATGATGAGCACACATTGGAAGAAGAATGCTTAGTATAGTTAGAGAATTGTAGACATGTTGTAGGTTTGATGTATTGTCTGTCAAGTTCTGGTTTCTGCATTGCAGATAAACTCCAAGGATAACACACAAGGTGTATGGTTTAACAATCTGATGGATTTTGTAGTCTGGTTTTTGATTGCTTTGTTGTGATTTGCAAGATAATTGAGTCCATCTAATGTGGGAAAATAAATTATCTCTAAAACTTATATTTTTGTCCTTATATATTGTAAACCATTAAAGGCATTTAGCTCCATATTGACTCCCCCAGTGAATTTGTAATGATTTTATGAAGGGCCTTAACTTGTGCCAGGGTTTCTCCATGCATTTACAATTTTCATGTGGATGTGTGGTGTTCAAGCATTCATTGTTACTCTGCTTCTGCACTTGCAATGAATATATCTACTGAAACACTTGATTAATTGGTTGAGATTGACCCTTTTTTTTTTTTACCATCCTTAAGTAAAATTACCATTGTACTTCTTTTATTACTCCTTGCACTCAATTTGGACCTGCACAGTCATATGGTTTTGTTTAATATTTATAGTTTGTTTATTGGGGATGATGGGTAGAAGAGTCTTGTTTCATGTGCTTAGCAGGATGGAAAAAAATTGTTTAATGTGCTTCTTTTTTTTTTTTTTTTTTACCAAGTGTTCCCAAAAGATGCTACTAGCTACCTACTTGATAACTACTTGTTCAAAATTGTTACACGAGGCCGTTCTCACTCTCTCTCATCCATTTGTTTTTGTTGTTCTTAATGTAGGATCCTATTGTTTCCGGAATAGAAGACAAGATTGCAACTTGGACCTTCCTACCTAAAGGTATGCCATATGACAAGCCTCTTTTTTTCTTATGTTCCTCTTTTTTTTTTTTTTCTGGGTGGAGAATGGTGTTTTCCTTTTTCATTTTTTGTTGTTTTGGTTGTTGGGCCTGTGGTAAGTAGAAGATGGTGAGCAATGTAAGCATTTTTCTCATGCCCAAGATATAATGAGTTGGCGACTCATATGCAGTGGCTTGGTTAAGGGAACCCACCGGAGCCGTAGCAAAAGCGAGTCTTCATAGGGCAATTGTCAACAATTGATCTCTACCTCTGAATTACGTAGGCTTAATTTAAGGATCCCTACAAGACTTTGTGTGATGATCAACAGTTTGAACTATTGGAAAGCTGCAATTTAACTACATCCAATAAATCGTATGAACTTGAGATAAACTGTGAAAGCCACATCATCTGTTTAATGGCCATTGGAGTTTCAAATCATGTTGATTTCTTATGCTTTCATTTCTACAAGCCACTTCATAACTGAAAAATATTTGTTTTGAATGAATGAGATTGTGGCCAAAAAAAAATAATAATGACCGACACTCACTAGTGGCCTATGGTACTTGGCTACATCCGGCAAGAGGCTGCTGCTGTGCCACAAATGATTGGGTTACAATTAAGAGTAGATTATGTTTCATAGTTTCTTTAACTGTACTTTTTGGATGAAAACTGAAATATTTTTCCAAACTTTGAAGTGTTTGACAGTGTATATATAATTCAATAATAAAGTACTGGAATTGAAAATCTGGAATTAAGTGACAGCATTGAACTGATGAAGAGATGTATCATCACATTCTCAGCCTAATCTAATTAAAACTTAGCCAGATCAGTGTTGTCTCAGAGTTCCCATGATGAAACAGTGCTGAAATTAAATCGTCTTTGATTGTGGCATGAGAACTTGGATATGATTTTAGGTTTTTGTTGGTCAAGATATGATTGTAGTTAATTCTACTAGGATTTTGACTTCAATTTTTTGGGAGGAGATGTTGGGTTCTCTTAGGATTATGAATAACAAAATAAAAAGGCAACAAAATGGTACCAACTGTACACTGGAATTTGGTCTTTAATATGCTCATGTTTTCAAGAACGCGATTGCGTATATAACAAGATCTAGCTGTCCCCACAGACCATATATCCTGCACCAACTGTACAGTGGAATTTGGTCTTTAATATGCTCATGTTTTCAAGAACGCGATTGCGTATATAACAAGATCTAGATGTCCCCACAGGCCATATCTCCTGCTATGGTGCCCTTAACTGAGACCCTATCGCTTATTAGATAATTACCAATTTATTGGCGGAGACAATCTTTTTCATGTGTTTCACTGTCTCTTATTCCAGAAAATGGGGAAGACATACAAGTGTTGAGATATGAGTATGGACAGAAATATGATCCACATTATGATTACTTTGCTGACAAGGTTAATATTGCACGTGGCGGGCATCGCCTGGCAACTATCCTAATGTATCTCACTGATGTAGAGAAAGGTGGTGAAACTGTGTTCCCCTCAGCGGAGGTTAGTTAAAGTGTTTCCTTTCACTTCCATTAGAACTGCATGTTTTTATCCATGTATATATTGAGAGTCCACCTTACATTCCTTGTAATATCCTATTGTTGCATGTATTTTGATTTTTTTTTTACTTTTTACACATCTTGAGATTCTGTCTGCTTACCTCATGCTGTAAAATACTAGATAACTGCTTTTTTTTTCTTTTTTAGATCAGCTCTTGAATGAGCAATGAAACAAAATCCGTGCTGTTAAATCATTTGGTACGGTATTTCAGACCCTTGGCAAGAAAATTATTTATAGTGGTAGTAGGAGGTAGAAGACACAGCAAGAAAAGTATCACATTGAAAGGTTTAAGAAAGCCTATTTAGAATGCATGTTTGGACTAGGCTAGTTAAGAAGTCTGCCAAGACTTTCCCTCACCAAGTAGAGAGAAAAAAAAAATACTTTATCTGTCAAGAACTGGGAGTCTATGATTGGCATTTAAACCTCACCCTTTGGTACCTTTATTTTTGCCTTTGTGGAGAGCATTAAGGGAATTATTATCGCTTCATAGTCTTAATTATGTTACATTGCATATGTCACCTGTCACCAGGAGTCTCGTCGTAAATCTTCTGCAGCTGATGATGACTTATCAGCGTGTGCAAAGAACAGTATTGCAGGTGAGCCACTCGAACAAAGGATAAATGTTTTTTTGGATTTTTTGTTCCATTTTCATCTAATTGATGATTTTTTTTTACGTTTCTTCTCCTTTCACCTTGGAAAATATCTAGTAAAACCACGAAGAGGGGATGCACTTCTTTTCTTCAGTCTCCACCCGAGCGCAGTTCCAGATCCAATGAGCCTCCATGCAGGTTGCCCGGTGATCAAAGGTGAGAAGTGGTCCGCAACAAAGTGGGTCCACGTGGATTCCTTCGACAAGATCGTGGGAGCAGGTGGGAATTGCACAGATCAGAATGACAATTGTGAGAGATGGGCTGCACTCGGGGAATGCACTAAGAATTCGGAGTATATGGTGGGAACTCCAGACCTACCGGGATATTGCAGGAGGAGTTGCAAGACATGTTGAGCGTGGTAAATTTTGTTTTCCTCTAAAGATTATCTACTGTATTTCTTCACGGTTTGGTTTGGGGGATGAATTTGTGGCACGTATGTATCTGTTTCTTTTGGTGGTGTTCTTGTCTGTTCAGTCATTCCTTTGCTAACCAATTTTTGTGGTTAAGAAAAATTGTTCCTGTTATGCTCTCTTTAGTCGAAATATTTTCAAAACACGTCTAAACGTTTTTATTTTTTAGGTGATCGAAATAATACACTAAAATAAAATTTTGATCCTCGAGTAGAAGACGACGATGTTCGACCTTAACGTGATAAGATCCAACAGGAGGGCGATGGCCATTGCTCTTGACTTGAGGATCTTGGGAAGCAATTCGTATATACCCGCCCTGTCACAAACACACAGATTTTGTTTCATTTGAAAGAGGTTGAACATACACCCCACACAGCATATTGTTGGTTTTTTTAACCTGATTGCCAGTGATGAGTCGGTAGCCCTGACCCTCTCTCCTCCTTAAGATGTCATGTCAGTATGTGAAAAATAATGTTAATAGGCCTCCTATTAATTGGGTTAAATTCTGATTTAATATGATCCGAATTTGAGTAATCATAATTCTTTTGGACAATTAGTCCTTTTTGAATCCGCTAAGACATTTCATAGGGTTAGGTATAAATATATCATCAATATTTGATCTGATGTAAATAAGAGGGGTAATAGATCCGTGCAACTCAAGTATGGAGTTATCGTCGCGTCGGCATAACAACAGTGTTTGGTGTCGTTGTTGAATAGGGCCCACCAACTCCAGTCCAATTTCCAAACACACATTCCACTTCTTCACTCAGATAACAACAAGTAGGTCAAGTCGCGTTCCTACCCCAAGCAATCTTTTGCCTTCATGATGTTCTCTCCCGGATTTGAAAAAATAATCATTGCCTTATTGTTTTATCTCAAGCTGTTTACCAGAAGTAATCGAAGTATAAGATTAACATTCCAATATTGACTTCGAGTCTTTCCCTTAAAATCCTTGTAAGATTCAATGGTCACTTATGATATAACCAAATCAAGCTTTCTCATAGCAAGAACCTCCCGAGGGGGATTAAAAGGAGTAATGCACTATGTTCAGAGTACGAAGTGGGAGTATGAGTAGCAATAACTGCCCTTAACCATCCTGACATTAGGAAGGAATGAAGTAAGAGATGACTGATCCCCGCACAAGTAGAATTGCCAATATCAAATCTTTTTAATAAAAGCTGTCCTTTTAAGGTAGAATTTTCTCTTTTTAAGGATTGAGTTACTGAGTTCATGAGTTTTTTTTTTTTTGTTTTTTTGGGTCATTCATAAAACAGACTTGCAACAAAAAATAAGCAACAGGAACTAACCAATGCCCACACGAACATCCTGTTGGATCTGTTGCAGCACATGAAATGGAGGATTCAAAAACCAGTCAACAGGAAGACTCCCACAATTGGTCAAATGAGCAATCATGTGAGCTAACTGATTAGCAGATCTGTTGACAAAAAGAAAATTAACAGCAGTGAGCTGGGAAGACAGAAGTCATACATCACGCTAAAGTGGTTCAACCTCCCTCAATGACTTTGCAGCCCCAGCACCAAAGAATCAATGAGAGCTTTTGAGTCACTTTCAAAAATAACAAACCTCCAGCCTTCAGTCAATGCCAAATAGCACGCCTTCCAGATGACCCAGGCTTCAGATGCCAATGCAGAGGCAACACACATCTTTCCGGATGAAGCAGCAATAACCTGGCATGTATGATCTCTAGCCACAGTCGCATACGCACCACGTTTCCTTGTTGCAGAAAAAGCACCATCGCAGTTAACCTTCACCCATACAGGTGGAGGGGCAGACCAAGGTGCTGAAACCACCTGCTTATACAGGGTATCAGTCCCAGCCACTCGAAGGGGATGCAACTCCGTAATGGCCATCTCTGTCTATCTGACGACTGTCACACTATCCACCGACTTTCCATTAAAACACCAATTATTTATGCTTTTCCATATGAACCACAGCATATAGGCAATGATAGAGCGATATGTCTTACTGATTTAAGTATTGTACTAGCTCTTTTCCTTCCCTGAGATTGAGTTACAGGATTTTAAGGGTTTGTATGCACGAGCAAAGCCCCCCTTTTCCACTCCTTCCACTTTTTTTTAGGCTCGTGTTCGTAAAATTCAACTCATTTATATGTAAAATAGTCGAGTTATTCGGACTTAGTTTAGGTTCAACTTGTTATCAAGTTCGTACATTTAGAAAATGAGCTGAATTTAAATATTTTTTTAGACTCGTTTTGAAAAACAAGTTTATCAAGTTTGACTTGTTTATCACCCCTATTGATGCATATGCAGATATATATAAACGTAGGACCTAAAGACTACAAAATATGAGCTGGATAAAATATTTTTCCAAACTCAACGAGATAATTCCTAATAGGGAGAATTATACTCAAATCTCTTGAAATTTATTACTTAATCACTCAGAACTTCTGATATTTAAAATATTACACATAGACCCCTTGAAATTTGTACATGTGTAACACTTAAATGCCTACTATAAATATATCTTTTTATAAATTACACTTAGAATCCCCTTAAGTTTGTAAATATATAATACTTACACCCTTTAAGTTTAAAATATTATACATAGACCAAAAATACTCCAATCACATATAGAATATCAAATATTTTAAATTTTACAACCAAAATTCATGTTCTATTGTATCATTTATTAAAATAATTATAAATAAAAATTTAGTTTTTCTTAAAAAATCATAATTAGTATACAATTATACTATTTATTAGAATAAAACTAAAAAATTAAACAAAGGGCCCAAGTCATTTATAATACAACATAAATTTTACATCCAAAATTCATATTCAATTATGTCATTTATTGAAATAAAATTAAAAATAAAAATCTAATTTTTTTAAAAAAATCATAGTTAATATATAATTATACTATCTATTAGAATAAAACTAAAAAATTAAACAAAAGGTAAGACTGTAATTGACACAATATCTTTTAGCTTTAATTTGATTAGCTTAGTATTTTAATTTAGCCATTTATACGACCAAATTAAATTTCAATAGACAATATAATTGTATAATAATTACGATTTTTTTAAAAAAAATTAAATTTTTATTGTTGATTTTATTTCAATAAATTATACAGTATAACATGAATTTTAATTGTAAAATTTAAAATATTTGACATTTTATCTTTGTTTGAAATATTTTTGGTCTAAATATAATATTTTAAACTTAAAGAGTCTAAATAATATATATTTATAAACTTTAAGGGGGCCTAAGTATAATTTATTAACTGATATATTTATAGCATAGGTCTAAGTGTTTCACGCGTACAAACTTTAGGGGATCCGAATGATTAAGTGACAAATCTCAGAAGATATGAGTATAATTCTCCCATCCTAATAAATTCAACTTTTTTTTAACCACCCGGCAAGACACAACTGTTGGATGTTTGTGAGATCTGCTAATCCAATGGTTCACATGAATTAGAAAGAAAAGTTAGTAAAAAAATTGATAATTAAATTCATTAGAGGCTTCGATCTGTTCTCTGAATTAAACTGGAGTACAAAATGAATGTAGTAGTGCTTTTAAGAATATGGCCCTATTGAGAATAGTGGTATTAAGAATATGGTCAAACAGATTCTCTTACATCCAACGCAATGTGTTACATAAACAACTTGGGCAGCATCATAGTCACATGTTATTCTTAGTTGTCACAACCAATTCACAACTATGGTCCACACTTGCATGATACAATTCTTTCTAGACATCAGGATTCTATGCAGGGGGCGGAGCCAAGAATTTTTTCTAAGGAGAAGAAAATATGACTAGAAATAATTCACCAGCTAATTCAAAAAAATAAATATATATATATATATATATATTAAAATTCAAGAATAAATTAATATATTAAACAACAAAACTATTTTTCATTTAGTTTAAACAAAATTTGAATAAAAATCAGCACTAAAAATACAATCATTTAAAAAATAGGGGGGGAGAGGGTACAAATATAAAAAATTGAACAAAATGATGGTCAATAACATTGCAAAAATGAAGAAAATCCAAAATTTAGGATGATTAAAGTTTTTTTTTTAAGGTTCAACAGTTAGCAATGTCCGGACCAACTTACACGCATCTTGACTAATTCCTTCCCTGATATGGTCAAAGATAGGTCATTTGTGCTGAGACTAAGATATTCATGATAAATAAATCTCTCATGACCTAACCTCAAAGAGTTGCTAAGATTTGAATTCAGAAAGTCTAAATTTATAGATCGTCTCTATTACCACTTAAATTATTTTTAGGATTAAGGTGGCTAAATTTACAAAGAGTTTGTCAAGTTACTTACAAAACAAGCTGATCTTGAATAAATTTTTAAGCCCGTTTAGAAAAACAAGTTCATCCTTGCGAAATTTAGGGCTAATAATTGAGTCAATCTACTCGGGCTCAGGTCGCATAGGACTCGACCCGAGCTTGACTTATATTTTAAACGAGTCAAGCTCGTACAATTTTTAAGACTCGTTTAAAAAACGAGCTTAAAAAATTAAATTCAAACTCGCAAAACTCGGCTCGATTCTCAATCCTAATGAAATCAACATAAGCTAAGGCTACTGTTTCAACAACAAACATAATATAATATTATTAAAGTAACTTTGCAAAATCAACACTCATCACAAAATTTGACCACATCTTGGCCATAAAACGAGGATCATTCCTTCGGGGTAAGGTTCCAATACGATAAGAATCAAGTCATTAAAATAAGAGGAGAACATTAAACTTACATCTGATTGGACACCAATACATAAGATAACAGTCAAAAAGAGGAATTCTCTCCTTCTGGTAGTTGGTGTCTCACCACAATAGAAAAAGATTCTAAGGGTTTTTACTTAGTCAAGCGTCTTCTTTTATTTATTGATTTTCTTTCTTTTTAAAGGGCAACAACTGATAATCAAGATAATATTATTAACAACAAAGTTTACGTGAAAAAAGGTCGGATGCAATAGAATAGCAATGGAATGAGAGAGTTTTGAAAGTAGGGGCCCCCTTGGGGCATTAAAGGCACATAACTGATGCAATGGAATAGCAAAACGGTAGGGGCTGCGAGACTCTGACAAAACACATCACAACCCAACACAAAAAGGAAAAAAAATATAAAAAGACATAACACAGCACAGATCCAGAGAACGCAAGAAAAGTAAAGACAAAGGCTAGACAACATTTTGTACTAGATGATACACAAAAGCAGGGAAAAATGTTGTTTTTTATCTGGGGACATTGAATTCACCAAATTCCTTTCAAGCATTAATATTCTCTCATTGTGCAATTATTCCACAAGAACTACTATTTCAACCAACAAGCTTTGTATTGAGTGTAACAACTAACAAGGCAGAGAGGTGCTAGTTCAGTGTACAAACTAGAGAAGAAAGAAAGCAAGCAGAGCATGGACGTTGGTCAGCTGCAAACAAGATTCGTGGACTATAGAAAGTCAATGTTTTGTGAGGTAATCACATGAAATGCAAGTATGTCTCATACTGATTTGTTTTATTGTTTTGGCTTGTTTGATCTATTGTCTTGTTTCTTAGTGTTCCGTTTTGCATTGGTTCTAATTTATCTGTGTTTGTTGGTTTGAAGGGGCTCTTGGACAGTCAGTTTATTCAGCTTCAGCAACTTCAAGATGAGAGCAACCCAGATTTCGTGGTTGAAGTGGTGTCTCTTTTTTTCGAAGATTCTGAAAAGCTTCTTAATGAACTCTCCAAAACTCTGTGAGGACACTAATATCTCTCTCTCTCTCTCTCCATTATTTTTTCTATGTTCTTAGGTTTGTCTCTCATCTCTGTACAGAGGTCAGCAAACTATAGATTTTAAAAAGGTTCATGCCCATGTTCATCAGTTGAAAGGTAGCAGCTCTAGGTATGCAAATGGATTTTCTATCTTATGCAACACACCCCCACAGAATCAACTTTTAAATATATGAGTTTTATTTAATTTGATGCTNCAATAAATGTCTCTAAGGCTGGGCATTTATTGCATCCTCCCCGAGAGGAGCTCATTGAACCGTCGGCAGGCCGATGACACAGTCTTGATTGCTCGGGGTCCCGAGCAGTTAAGAGAGAAGACATTCATCATAGGAATCAGTGCGCACGTTACCTGTATCTAATGATCACCTACTGACCACACTGATAGCAATCATGAGTATTTGAGGTATAAATACTCCTCACTAAAGGCAAGGAAAAAGAGGTGAAACTTTTGCTACAAATTATACTCAGTGTTTTCTTCTTCCTCTCTCTCAAAAACTGACTTGATCGTCGGAGGGGATACGCCGAAAAACACTCCGGCGCCCTTCTAACGTGTTATTCTTTGTTCCAGGAACCTTTCTTCAGCCTTACTGGATCGTTCCTTTGATCCGCGAGAGTCTCCCATTACCGTTCCAGGTTACCACCGGATCTCACAGGCTGTTCCAAGCAGCGTGGTTGACCACTCAACTGACTCACTCGAGTTCACCAAAGGAGAGATCTGTTCTCGTTTTTATATTGTGCAAGATCTAGCACGCACAGATCATGACACTGTTTCTGTAACAAATATAGAGTCAAAAAGATATATGGAGTCCGAAGCAAAGGGGGGGTTTCTTCAAACATGATTATTCAGAAAAGAAGGACGTGAATTCAATTACTTACTGCCATATGCATAATATTCAGAAATTCAACAATTCAATCAGTACATTGTACCCAAAGAGATCTCACTATTGAATCAAACGAGAGAGAGATCTGGCATGATTTATAGTAGCAGTATAGACACCGTATCGTTTTGTATATATACTTGATCAATCAAAACTCAAAAATTGAACATTAACTTTTCATAAAACCTGACGGAGAAGAATCCTAGTTGCAGTTGCCGCCGTTGCCTTATGATCTTCGTGGACTCCCGAATCAGACTCGTCGTGAAACCAACCCACTGATTTCTGAGCTTCATTGATTATCTGCGAAATGCCTGAAAATCCAATAAAAAAAAGCACTAGCAATTAACCTCAAATCAAAATTCACACACACACACACAATGTGGGAAAGAAAGTGAGAGATTTGGGACCTCCACGGACGGTTTGTTTGTTTTGGCTGATGTCGTGAACAGTCGACGAAATTTTCCAGTAGAGAGGACGACCGATATAGAAGAGTATGAGTATAACAAGAATGGCCAATACTGTGCGGAACGTAACCCTAGCTGTTTGTGACGCCATTGTTGAGCAGACAGACAGAGATGTGCAGCTGGAACAATTGGGTATCATAAAATCTGNCGATCCTAATGAAATCAACATAAGCTAAGGCTACTGTTTCAACAACAAACATAATATAATATTATTAAAGTAACTTTGCAAAATCAACACTCATCACAAAATTTGACCACATCTTGGCCATAAAACGAGGATCATTCCTTCGGGGTAAGGTTCCAATACGATAAGAATCAAGTCATTAAAATAAGAGGAGAACATTAAACTTACATCTGATTGGACACCAATACATAAGATAACAGTCAAAAAGAGGAATTCTCTCCTTCTGGTAGTTGGTGTCTCACCAGAATAGAAAAAGATTCTAAGGGTTTTTACTTAGTCAAGCGTCTTCTTTTATTTATTGATTTTCTTTCTTTTTAAAGGGCAACAACTGATAATCAAGATAATATTATTAACAACAAAGTTTACGTGAAAAAAGGTCGGATGCAATAGAATAGCAATGGAATGAGAGAGTTTTGAAAGTAGGGGCCCCCTTGGGGCATTAAAGGCACATAACTGATGCAATGGAATAGCAAAACGGTAGGGGCTGCGAGACTCTGACAAAACACATCACAACCCAACACAAAAAGGAAAAAAAATATAAAAAGACATAACACAGCACAGATCCAGAGAACGCAAGAAAAGTAAAGACAAAGGCTAGACAACATTTTGTACTAGATGATACACAAAAGCAGGGAAAAATGTTGTTTTTTATCTGGGGACATTGAATTCACCAAATTCCTTTCAAGCATTAATATTCTCTCATTGTGCAATTATTCCACAAGAACTACTATTTCAACCAACAAGCTTTGTATTGAGTGTAACAACTAACAAGGCAGAGAGGTGCTAGTTCAGTGTACAAACTAGAGAAGAAAGAAAGCAAGCAGAGCATGGACGTTGGTCAGCTGCAAACAAGATTCGTGGACTATAGAAAGTCAATGTTTTGTGAGGTAATCACATGAAATGCAAGTATGTCTCATACTGATTTGTTTTATTGTTTTGGCTTGTTTGATCTATTGTCTTGTTTCTTAGTGTTCCGTTTTGCATTGGTTCTAATTTATCTGTGTTTGTTGGTTTGAAGGGGCTCTTGGACAGTCAGTTTATTCAGCTTCAGCAACTTCAAGATGAGAGCAACCCAGATTTCGTGGTTGAAGTGGTGTCTCTTTTTTTCGAAGATTCTGAAAAGCTTCTTAATGAACTCTCCAAAACTCTGTGAGGACACTAATATATCTCTCTCTCTCTCTCCATTATTTTTTCTATGTTCTTAGGTTTGTCTCTCATCTCTGTACAGAGGTCAGCAAACTATAGATTTTAAAAAGGTTGATGCCCATGTTCATCAGTTGAAAGGTAGCAGCTCTAGGTATGCAAATGGATTTTCTATCTTATGCAACACACCCCCACAGAATCAACTTTTAAATATATGAGTTTTATTTAATTTGATGCTTGGAATTTGTGGTCCGATTCAAGACTTACTGTATGAATTTTGAAAGCAATGGGTATCTGCAAGAATTCTCCCACAAAATTTGAATTTTCTTTTACTTCCCATTTCCTTCAGATTTCTACCTGACCGAAGTTTAAAACAACTGAAATCTGAGAAACAAGTTGGTGCTAAGATTTACACCAAAAAGAACTAAAAATAGTAGTTCTTACACAATATTAGTTCATTGAATTGTTAAATAAAATATGGGTTCTTGTGATTCAACAGCATTGGCGCTCAGAGAGTTAAAAATGCTTGCATTGCTTTTCGCAACTACTGTGAAGAAGAGAATATCGAAGGGTGTGTAGTTTTACTCTTTCTCATACCTAATATTTTTGTTACTTTATTTTTGAAATCAGACATGCTACATAAGTTAGAAAATAGAAATCAGAAGTCCTTAAGAATCTAAAGTAAGAATCTTCACATTCTGATAGAGAGTTGGGTGCATGTAGGTGCTTGAGATGTGTTCAACAAGCAAAACAAGAGTACTTCCTAGTCAAGGGCAAGCTTGAAACTCTATTCAGGGTGAGAACACTAAACTTCTTAGCATATGTCAGTCTATTCCAAACTCCTATTTTTCTTCTGTTTGTCTATTGCAGTTGGAGCAACAGATTGTGGTGGCTGGTGGGGTAATTCCTATGGTGGAATGAGTGGGTCTTGAAGTAACTATTAGAGAGGCAAAGACAAGTATGTGTTGGAGCTATTGTTAGCTTTGTTTGAGTTTTTTATCACTAAAACTACAGAACTTGGGCTTACATGTCCTTGTAGTTACTCTTCCTAAATAATGGGTCCTAAAGTAACTACTAAACAGGCAAAGCCAAGAATGTTTGGAGCTATTATTGAGAACCTTTGTTCGAGTTTTGTCTACCACTTGAATTAACTACAAAACTTGTGCTTGCATGCCCTTGTATTTACTCTTCCTTCTCATGGAGAAGTTGTAAGTTATAGATTGGTTTTGCTTCTTTTTTTTCAACTATTCGGTTTATGAGTAACACTTTTCCTTTCAGAAAATTAAGGAACTAGATCAAAAGTACTTTAGCTTGAATTTTCAGCCCAGAAAGCAAGAGCAGTAATTCAAACAAGAAGCTAATTAAAAAGGGTTGAGAAGTTATATCAGAACAAAACCTTTTCACATAAGTCGTCTCGTCGCCCAGAAGATAGCACTTATTTCATCAATGCATATAACACTATTTCCATTACCTAACACTATATATAACCTATTAAAAAAAAATTCCTATCCAGAAATTTCATATTCACCACATTGGTCAAAATAAACATCAGTTCAGAGTTAACAATGATCATGATGGGACATTTCTAAAATACTCCGAGATGAAGACACGTGTCCTCGGTGTCATTAATCCTTGTTACCGAGATCACGTACCCATCGGGTCACAAGTCCCCTCTCCCCCGAGGTACTGATCATGGGGATCGAGTGGCATCCAGTGCGTTTATATGTACTGACACGTACCCTCGGTCTGATATGGTACATCGGTCGTAGGCCTCCCCCTCTCGGATTCAAGATGTACCTATTCTTTGGCTCCGAGATGCATCTATTCCTCGGCTCCGAGATGTACCTCTTCCTCGGTACCGAGATGTACCCCCCTCATCCAGGATGAAGTTCTCTGCTCCAGCAGAGACTATTGATGTACTGGTCACTAGCCTAGGCTAGGCTAGATTAGTTATCATGACCTCGTCTTACTCAATTGGTGTCAGAAGGCACAGGAAGGCAGGGGTCACAACCAATGAGGAATGGACGTGTGGCATATTGTGTCACATCAGAGACAGAAAGACCGCATGACCTTGTTGACATGCGACTTGGGAAAACAAACATTTAATTACACCATTCCCTTGATGAGACTGCATTCAATGCGGTAAGGCTCGAAAGTGAAAGGCAATAAATGTCTCTAAGGCTGGGCATTTATTGCATCCTCCCCGAGAGGAGCTCATTGAACCGTCGGCAGGCCGATGACACAGTCTTGATTGCTCGGGGTCCCGAGCAGTTAAGAGAGAAGACATTCATCATAGGAATCAGTGCGCACGTTACCTGTATCTAATGATCACCTACTGACCACACTGATAGCAATCATGAGTATTTGAGGTATAAATACTCCTCACTAAAGGCAAGGAAAAAGAGGTGAAACTTTTGCTACAAATTATACTCAGTGTTTTCTTCTTCCTCTCTCTCAAAAACTGACTTGATCGTCGGAGGGGATACGCCGAAAAACACTCCGGCGCCCTTCTAACGTGTTATTCTTTGTTCCAGGAACCTTTCTTCAGCCTTACTGGATCGTTCCTTTGATCCGCGAGAGTCTCCCATTACCGTTCCAGGTTACCACCGGATCTCACAGGCTGTTCCAAGCAGCGTGGTTGACCACTCAACTGACTCACTCGAGTTCACCAAAGGAGAGATCTGTTCTCGTTTTTATATTGTGCAAGATCTAGCACGCACAGATCATGACACTGTTTCTGTAACAAATATAGAGTCAAAAAGATATATGGAGTCCGAAGCAAAGGGGGGGTTTCTTCAAACATGATTATTCAGAAAAGAAGGACGTGAATTCAATTACTTACTGCCATATGCATAATATTCAGAAATTCAACAATTCAATCAGTACATTGTACCCAAAGAGATCTCACTATTGAATCAAACGAGAGAGAGATCTGGCATGATTTATAGTAGCAGTATAGACACCGTATCGTTTTGTATATATACTTGATCAATCAAAACTCAAAAATTGAACATTAACTTTTCATAAAACCTGACGGAGAAGAATCCTAGTTGCAGTTGCCGCCGTTGCCTTATGATCTTCGTGGACTCCCGAATCAGACTCGTCGTGAAACCAACCCACTGATTTCTGAGCTTCATTGATTATCTGCGAAATGCCTGAAAATCCAATAAAAAAAAGCACTAGCAATTAACCTCAAATCAAAATTCACACACACACACACAATGTGGGAAAGAAAGTGAGAGATTTGGGACCTCCACGGACGGTTTGTTTGTTTTGGCTGATGTCGTGAACAGTCGACGAAATTTTCCAGTAGAGAGGACGACCGATATAGAAGAGTATGAGTATAACAAGAATGGCCAATACTGTGCGGAACGTAACCCTAGCTGTTTGTGACGCCATTGTTGAGCAGACAGACAGAGATGTGCAGCTGGAACAATTGGGTATCATAAAATCTGTGAGCCACCCCTAAAACTGCGTCGTATCTAGGGGAGTCGATTTTTTCCCTGAATTGTATTCGACACAAAATTAAAAAATTAAAAAAATAACACAATTAATTGACACGAATTATTAATATGTTAAATTAAAATTAGACATAAATAATACAATTAACAGATCCTATAGATAAAAATATATATATTTAGAGAGTATTGTAAAAAAAAAAATTTAAATAATATTATATGAATTATTATAAAATTAAATTTTATTAACACGAACCCATAATAAAAGTGACACGTAGGGTTGTTAGTCGAACGAGTCCGAGACAAATTTGAGTCGAATTTGAAAAGCTTGTCTCTTAGTCGAGCCTAAAAAGTTATTTAAGTTCGGCTCGTTTAGGAAACGAATCGAGTCTAAACGAGCCAAAAATAAGTTGAACTCGAGCCGATTCCTAGTATTTGCACATAAATGAGTCGAGTTCGAGTTGAACTTGTAGGGCTTGTGTTTTTAAACGAGTCTAAAAACTTGTTCAAATTTGATTCGTTTAAAAAACAAATCAACCTTGAACGAGCAAAACCCGAACTGAACTTAAGCCAAGTTCGAGTAATTCAATTTGATTAACAACTACAGTGACACGAAACTAAAATAATATAAACAAAAATGACACGACGCCACACTTACGGTTTGGGAACCTCTTATATTTTTTTTTTTTTTTCCCTCCATTATCTTTCTGTCTACATTTATTGTTTGGGTTAATTATAACTTGTACCCATAAAAATTTAGCCAGATTTACACTTTGGTCCCTCAATCTTTGCATTGTTTCCTTTTAGTCCTCTTAACTTTCCAACTTGTATTCAAATATGTTCAATACATAATAACACTACACTACCCATCAAGTTGTCAAATGACAATCAAGAGGTGCTGCATAAGAGGTGAAAGACTATGAGGAGTAACAAATCCTATAAATTCTTAAAAAAAAAAAAAAAATCTTATAAAAAGAGTTATGAGCACATGTACAACCACATGATGCATAATAAGTCATACTACCTTCATCAATTTTAAACGGTAATTTATGATTAGACAATATAGGCTCGTTTGCATGCTGTTAATTCTAATTAATGAGTATTTCATTCTCTGTTAATGGATACCAATTAGTATCAATTATCGTAAAAATAATCACATGTTCTTTAGCTATTATCAAGATTTTTTTATTTTTTTTTCTATTTTTAGAATACCCAACGAAGTCTATTGTCACATTTGACAATATATCTTTATGATTCTCAATATATTTGAAAAGGGATGAAAATTGATCGATGAAAGAATGAAGATTAAACTTTGATCTGATTGGCTAGATTAAGATCGGNTCGGCAGGCCGATGACACAGTCTTGATTGCTCGGGGTCCCGAGCAGTTAAGAGAGAAAACATTCCTCACAGGAATCAGTGCGCACGTTACCTGTATCTAATGATCACCTACTGACCACACTGACAGCAATCATGAGTATTTGAGGTATAAATACTCCTCACTAAAGGCAAGGAAAAAGAGGTGAAACTTTTGCTACAAATTATACTCAGTGTTTTCTTCTTCCTCTCTCTCAAAAACTGACTTGATCGTCGGAGGGGATACGCCGAAAAATACTCTGGCGCCCTTCTAACTTGTTATTCTTTGTTCCAGGAACCTTTCTTCAGCTTTACTGGATCGTTCCTTTGATCCGCGAGGGTCTCCCATTACCGTTCCAGGTTACCACCGGATCTCACAGGCTGTTCCAAGCAGCGTGGTTGACCACTCAACTGACTCACTCGAGTTCACCAAAGGAGAGATCTGTTCTCGTTTTTATATTGTGCAAGATCTAGCACGCACAGATCATGACACTGTTTCTGTAACAAATATAGAGTCAAAAAGATATATGGAGTCCGAAGCAAAGGGGGGTTTTCTTCAAACATGATTATTCAGAAAAGAAGGACGTGAATTCAATTACTTACCGGNCTATGAGGAGTAACAAATCCTATAAATTCTTAAAAAAAAAAAAAAAATCTTTTTTTATGAGCACATGTCCAACCACATGATGCATAATAAGTCATACTACCTTCATCAATTTTAAACGGTAATTTATGATTAGACAATATAGGCTCGTTTGCATGCTGTTAATTCTAATTAATGAGTATTTCATTCTCTGTTAATGGATACCAATTAGTATCAATTATCGTAAAAATAATCACATGTTCTTTAGCTATTATCAAGATTTTTTTATTTTTTTTCTATTTTTAGAATACCCAATGAAGTCTATTGTCACATTTGACAATATATCTTTATGATTCTCAATATATTTGAAAAGGGATGAAAATTGATCGTTGAAAGAATGAAGATTAAACTCTGATCTGATTGGCTAGATTAAGATCGTGCCTTAATATTACAGTATTTTTTATTAAATTAGATTAGATTTATCCTTATCTGTCTGATAGCAACCCAACTACTTTCAAGACAATTTTAGATTGGCTGAGGTGGTCTCTTCTACCGGATTGAGTTCCTTGTTACAACTACTCCCATTAGTTTTGACTAACTTAGCAATTTTAAATCTACTACATCTCTCTAATGGAATGACTTAACATCAGGATCCTCGTCTCCTCAAGGTGGGGATTCTACCTCGGGATCGTCACTCGTGTCCCCCAAGCATGCGAGTAATATAGGACCCAGTAGCCTCAAAAGAAACCTCAAACATTGTTGGTGGTGAAAGTGAGAACTCGAAATATGTGAAAAGTGCAATCGTCAATCGAACAAAGCAAGAAAATCCTAGCCGTACTCCAAGGATCTAGAAAAAAAGGATGCCACTGCCAATAATCTCCCTAAACTCTTAAAGTAGAAGAACCGGAGGACTAAGAAATGGAGTCCTTGGGACCAACACACGGGACCAAATCATTTCTAAAAGCACCAAACATAAAATACAATGCATGTATAGAGGAGAGAATTACTAGAAATCAAATAAATCTCAACTAAAAAGGAAGTAACAGAATTTCAAGAAAAACTAAACACTATATACATTCTACCAATGCCTACGTTTTGGTTACAACTGGGTTTTGGCTATACAATTGGCCGACGAATTTTAAACATGTCGCATTTGTTACACGTCTTGTTGGATTCATCAATATCAATTGTCACATCATTACATAGGGCGAATTCGACTCGACATAACCGAAATTTAAAATTTGCTCTATCTGAGCCCTTCTCCTTGTAATTACCCTTCTCTATTTAGTAGAAAGGTTTCTTGCAAAATCAAATGGAAGATGGTTAAAAAGCCTCTTCGACGATCTGAGTCAGGCCTAACTAGACTATTTGTTGCAACTCCAAAAGGTTAGCTAAAACCTTTTTTTTAGTTATTTTAAATAATTTCTTACTGAAATGTGGTTCTAACAGACAAGCTATTCTCCTATTTATTTCTCATAACTCTATTTTCACTAGTTACATCTAGCAAGCCACTTCTCACTAGCTCTACATCCAACAAAATCTCCCAAAACTCCAGTAAACTCCCCCAAAAATTCATCAACACTTCCAAAAAATTAACAAAATCTCCTAAAAATCCAATAAACTTCCCCCAAAAATTTGACTCAGTTATTTGTGTAATTTAAGGTGATTTTGTTTTGAATTTTGTGATTTACTTTTGGAGAATTTGGTTTGGGAGTAGTAATTTTTGGAAAGTGGGTTCTCTCTTGTAGCTTATAATTGATTAAATTTATACAATATATAGTCGAATTGATATTTTTTGAATTTTATTATTGAAAGTTAGTTAAAGTTAATTGAAGTGTGTAGCTAAAATAGAAAACGTTGTTGGAGTAAATTTGAAAAAGTGATTAGCTAAAGTAGATAATATAATATTTAAATGTATTTTAAGTAACTATTTTAGATAGCATTGTTGGAGATGCCCTTAACTAGGGTGGACCAGAAAAAAATGGGTATTCGTCCAAATCCATCCCATTTGGACCGGGAATAGACTATACGTATTACATGGTGGACGTATATGAAAATACTCGTATAAACTCGCACGGGAATGAAGGCGGGAATGGACTTACCCTTACCCCCGCCCCACCCCCGCTACCCATTATATATATACTCCAAAGCCCTAACTAAATATATTTACTGTAACTACCAATCTAGAAATATGGTAATTAAACTAACAAGTGGCATTGCTATGTGATAATTTTATTAACTTTTTTTTTTGATTGTGTCTTTTTTCTATGTGTGCTCACTGATTGAAACTTTTAAGAGTTTGAATTGATCATGCTCTAAAAACAAATAAGAGAGAATAAGATTGTTTTTTGCATTTTATCGTTAGTAGAATTATTGAATTAGCGAAATTTTAATTTTTCATCTTTTAACATTTTATGGCTGTAATATGGATTGTAATAACAAAAAATCTTTTAGGAAACTTCAAGTGTAGTGTTATTGTTTTCTTAGTTCAATTTTATTTTCATTTTCTTCCTTTCTCTCTAATAGTTATGTTTCTCTTTTTGTGGTCCAATGACACTTTAAATAGAATATTATATTATTTTGGCTTTTACATTTTGCAATCTATATTATGTTGTTTTAGATTATATTAGATTATTTAGAATATTATTGAATTATTTAAAATATTAGATTTATTTAGAATTTTATATTATGCTACTTGGACTTAGGCGAGTACGGGAGAANTGTCACATCATTACATAGGGCGAATTCGACTCGACATAACCGAAATTTAAAATTTGCTCTATCTGAACCCTTCTCCTTGTAATTACCCTTCTCTATTTAGTAGAAAGGTTTCTTGCAAAATCAAATGGAAGATGATTAATAAGCCTCTTCGACGATCTGAGTCGGGCCTAACTAGACTATTTGTTGCAACTCCAAAAGGTTAGCTAAAACCTTTTTTTTAGTTATTTTAAATAATTTCTTCCTGAAATGTAGTTCTAACAGACAAGCTATTCTCCTATTTAT